CGGGAGCGCCGCCGCACTTCCCAAGCAGCGCACTATCCAGTGCGCCACCGGGCCGGCCCTCTGCTTGTACTTTTTGAAGAGATTTCCTTATCTATCTTCCAATGGTTTGTTTTTATTCCCACTTTATATTTTCATTTTCTAAGAATACTTTTTGTTTCTGATGTTCCTTTTATGTTATCCTATTCTTGTGTCATGTAAAAATCTTCTCACATCTCTATGAGGATATTAACCGTGGCTCCTGATGTTTCCTTTGTTTCCCTATGTAGTCTCTTCTAAATTCCTTTCTAATCTCTTTTATGTTACAGGCTTTCCTCAAATATCTGATGATATTTGCCTACATTCTTTGTTTGTTTTTTATTGTTGTTTTGGGTATATTTTTAATGTGTACATCATCATGTCTTGATGTGCACTGTGATATGGTTACTGTAGTCAAGTAAATTAACACATTCCTCATCTCACATTATTACCCTTTTATTTATGGCAAGAGCACCTAATATTTATTCTCTTAGCCAAAATGCCAAATACAATAAAGGTTGACTATCCCTTGTCCTAAGTGCTTGGGACTGGAAGTGTTTCGAATTTCACACTTTTTCAGATTTTGGAATATTTGCAGATACTTAATGGGTTGAAAAGCCCTAATCTGGAAATTTGAAATTCAAAATGCTCCAATGAGCATTTGCTTTGAGCATCATTTCAGTGCATCAAAAGTTTCGGATTTGGGGGGATTTCAGATTTTCAGATTAGGGATGCTCATCCTAAACATTATAAAAGCCCTCTGATAGTACATTAGATTTCTAGATTTATTCACCTACGTATCTGCCACTTAGTATCCTTTGACCTACATTTCGCCATTTCTTCCCTCTACCCCCCAATCACTGCTAACTCTTATGTTCTTTTCTATTTCTCTGTGTGTGTGTGTGTGTGTTTAGATTCCACATGTAACTGAGATCATGCAGTGTTTTTCTTTGTATCTGGCTTATTTTACTTAGCGTATTTCCTCCAGATTCATTCATGTTGTGACATATGGCAGAATCTCTTTCTTTTTCAGTGCTGAATAATATTCCATTACACACACAAACACACACACACACACACACACATACACCACAATTTCTTTATCCATTCATCTATTGATGGACATCGGTTGTTTTCATGTCTTGGCTATTGTGATTATAGCTGCAATGAACATGGAAGTGCAGATATCTTTATGAGATGGTGATCTATTTGTATATTAGTATGGGCACTAAGACTGATTTATTTTTTGTACATCAATTGTAGTCTTTCATAGGTGCTTGGTTCCCCCATTTCTTAAGTATTACTTTGGTCTGTAGCATAAATCATCCCCTTCTGAGTTTTTCTTACTTTCAGTTTAGGTTTTATCTGTGCTTGGTTTGTTAAGTTAGTTATGTATCTTAATGCTTTTCAGGTTCAAATGCTTTGTTGCTGCAGTTTCCTCTTTAATTCTCTTTGACTTGATGGGTTTCTTCCTTTTAAAAAATCCCTTTTCTTTTCTTTTGTTGAGATTTTAGAAAGGACACGGGAATAACTGCATGTGATCCACCTGCCCTTTTTCAGAGACAGTGTGTCCTTTTTTTAGAGAAATCTTGTTTTTAGAAGTTTATTTCTAATTATAACAAAATTTGAAAATTATTATATTAACCATTTCCTAAAAGGATTTTGGTCTTTTTGCATGTACTAGGGCTCAAGTTGATTAAAGTAACAGATAACTAACCTTGCCTTCATGAAGCTTGGTTGTATTTTAGCAGGTAGACATTGAACAAACAAATATGAAATTTTCAGTTGTTTGAGATGCATGTGTAATTACCGATTACCAAAAGAAAACAAAACAAAGAAAGTGGGAAATAAAAAGTGCTCTGAGAAATATTATCAGGGTGTGTATAACTAAAATTGAGCATTCAGGAAATATCTTTATTAAGATATGGCATTTAGCAGATAGTTGAACCATGGCCAGAAACTTTCCAGGCCAAGATTGGGGGCAGTGGGTAGAAGGGGACATGGGAGAACATTTCCGGCAGATGAAATCATGGTGGAGGGATAGGTACAGTTTCGTGCGTTTGAAGAACTGAGAAGGCCAGAGTAGCTATAGCTTATGGTTGGAGGAGAAGAATATCAGGTTGAAGAGTGAGGTACGAAACAGATCACTGAGGAGTGGGAGTCTTATCTTAAGGATAGTGGGAAGCCACTGGAACATTTTGAGCAGAACAGTGTGAGGCTAAATGTCACTCTGGCTTCTGAGGGGCAAAACTGGAAATGCAGGCAGCTAGATGAAATGCTGCTTTAACATCAAGTAAAAGATAATTTTGGCTTGGATTAGCCATGGACAGTGGAGCCTGGCAAGCTCGCTGTATGGATGTTGTAGGAAGAGACTGGTGCTGGAATGTTTTCACCTTTGGGGACTTGAGGTGTTTGCTCAGGGTCTTAATTGACGTCTTTAAATTTGTTCCCTTTCCTAGTCTCTACTTTTATGGGAAATAAGTCTTCTGAATTAATAGTTACCAAACACTGCACAGTCACTTCATGCAAGTACATAAGTACATTATGTGTGATACCAGAATTATTCAATAATCATCATAGCTGGGGTTCAGGATACTCATCTATCTTCATCCTTCTTGTAATCTTCCAGTAATATCACATTAACTCCTATCTTCTCTTCCCTTCCCTGTGACCTTAAAATTAGATTCTCTGTTACTGTACTATAGCCCTCACTGAGTCCCCTCTTTTGTTCTCCCAAGGTTAGCCTTACAGACTATATAGGCAAGCATTGCTTTTATTAAATGACATAAACAAATCACATTCTAACCGCAGAAGAATCTTCCCTCTCTCTTGCTCATTCCATACTCATACGGCACATTAGTCTTTTGTCTGGAAACTACTACATCTGGAGTACTTTTCTGTCTCCTTTAGTTTATATGCAAATTATGTTTGTTCCTTGAACATCTATCCCAGATTTTTTCTCCCAAGAAAAAATTTAATGCTTCAAACAACCCTAAGAAATGGGTATGATAATTTCACTCATTTATAAATGAATATGACTCTTTTCTGTCTCCTTTAGTTTATATGCAAATTATGTTTGTTCCTTGAACATCTATCCCAGATATTTTCTCCCAAGAAAATATTTAATGCTTCAAACAACCCTAAGAAATGGGTATGATAATTTCACTCATTTATAAATGAATATGACACTAGATTCATTCTTTTAAAAAATTGGGATGGGCCAGGTTCATCTGTATATTTATCCAGCTCCCCAAGTCTGTAGGAGATTTTTATCTAAACCGTTATTTAGGAGCAATTAACTTAATCTGTTTTCCTAAATATTTCCTCCACTTTCTAGTGTGACTTTTTCTCGTTCTCTCTGCTTTCCTTATCTATTTTGTAACTTGCCCAATCATATTTGAGAACTGTATAAGCTACTTACTTTTTATGAAAATTAATTTCAGTTTAGTCTTTCATATCTGGTATAAAAGTTTCATTTCTCCCAGAACACAAAAAAAGTGAATGTTTGCTTTTATATTTTCTTTCAGACTGTGAATCAAGGTTGAGACCAAGAAATTATTTCTGAAAAAGGATATTTATGGAATAGAATCATCCTGATGGGAGATAATGGAAAGACTTACAAAACACAGCATTGAGTATTCAAGTTTCAGAGGTGATTGGGAATGTAAAAGCCAGTTTCAGAGAAAACAGGGATCTCAGGAAGGACATTTCAGTCAAATGATATTTACTCCTGAAGACATGCCCACTTTCAGTACCCAGCACCAGAGAATTCATACTGATGAGAAACTCCTTGAATGTAAGGAATGTGGGAAGGATTTTAGTTTTGTATCAGTACTTATTCGTCATCAGCAAATTCATACTGGTGAGAAACCTTATGAGTGTAAAGAATGTGGGAAGGCTTTTGGTAGTGGTGCAAACCTTGCTTACCATCAACGAATTCATACAGGTGAGAAACCTTATGAATGTAAGGAATGTGGGAAGGCCTTTGCTAGTGGCTCAAACCTTACTCACCATCAGAGAATTCATACTGGTGAGAAACCCTATGAATGTAAGGAATGTGGGAAAGCCTTTAGTTTTGGATCAGGACTTATTCGACATCAGATAATTCACAGTGGTGAAAAGCCTTATGAGTGTAAGGAATGTGGGAAGTCCTTTAGTTTTGAATCAGCCCTTACTCGACATCAAAGAATTCACACAGGTGAAAAACCTTATGAATGTAAGGATTGTGGGAAAGCCTTTGGCAGTGGTTCAAACCTTACTCAACATCAGAGGATTCATACTGGTGAAAAACCTTATGAATGTAAAGCATGTGGAATGGCCTTTAGTAGTGGTTCTGCCCTAACGCGGCACCAGAGAATTCATACTGGTGAAAAGCCATATGTATGTAACGAATGTGGGAAAGCCTTTAGTTTTGGATCAGCCCTTACTCGACATCAAAGAATTCACACAGGTGAAAAACCTTATGTATGTAAGGAATGTGGGAAGGCTTTTAATAGTGGTTCAGATCTTACACAACATCAGAGAATTCACACAGGTGAGAAACCCTATAAGTGTAAGGAATGTGACAAAGCCTTTAGAAGTGGCTCAAAACTTATTCAGCATCAAAGAATGCACACTGGTGAGAAACCCTATGAATGTAAGGAATGTGGGAAGGCCTTTAGTAGTGGTTCAGACCTTACTCAACATCAGAGAATTCATACTGGTGAGAAACCTTATGAATGTAAGGAATGTGGGAAGGCCTTTGGTAGTGGCTCAAAACTTATTCAACACCAGCTAATTCATACTGGTGAAAAACCCTATGACTGTAAAAACTGTGGAAAGTTCTTTAGTAGTGGCTCAGCTCTTCATCGACACCAGAGGGTACACACTGGTGAGAAACCCTATGAATGTAAGGAATGTGGGAAGGCTTTTCGTAGTGGCTCGAGCCTTACTCAACATCAGAGAATTCATACTTGTAAGGAACTTTATGAATGTAAGGAATGTGGGAAGGCTTTTGGAAGAGGTTTAGAGTTTCAGCAACATAAGAAAAATCATAATGTTGAAATGCTCTGTGAATTGGAAACTTTTTGAAATATGTGGTTAAGGAAGGACTGTCAACACATGACATAAGAAAATTTATACTTGTGAAAATTCGTATAAATATAATTAAGGCACAAATACTTTACTTATGCTATACAACCTAAGGTAATTCATACAGGAAAAATATCAGTCTGAACAAAGTAAATATTTGAAGATCTTTATCTACATTCATTCCTTCATTATTCTTGGAAAATTCATAGTTGTGAACGTCAAAAATGAAAAAAAATCATTGTATTTTACCTTTGTTTTAAGCTTTGAAAAAACTTATTTTGGGTCTAACCCTGCTACTTTTATTTTTTTAATGGTCTTATTTTTTGTGTATATTATACAGAATTACTGATCCATCTCAAAATTTTATTTTTTGAAAGTTCAAATTTTTTTTTTTCCTTTCCTGATTCTCATACTAACACAATTTATTAGATAACCCTACCTATTTTTATATTGTTTTTTGACTGTTTGATGGAAAGTCATATGAGGGTACTTTGTAAATTCATGGAAAGATTAGTATTATCTTTTAATTCCATATTTCCATGAACTTTTCGAAGAACTCTCATGTTTTTGTTCATATAAAGCTTGGATATTTGGTCAGTGTTTGTTTCAAAAAATTATATATAAGTATATGTATCTTTGTCTTACCCTGTTTATGTTGAGTAACTGTTACTTTTGAGTATCTTTTAATATCTTATGGAACTGTACCTTTTGTTTTGGAAGACTGTTTTATTTTCCTTTTATAAAGTTTGTACTCTTCATTTTGCAAAACAACTTTCTATCATAATAATTTAGGTAAGAGCCAAAAATAGATATAGTTATCTGTAATCTTACCAATTATAGATAATCAGTGTCAAACTTTTGGAGCAAACCTTTTATGACTATATCTCATTGTTTTTGAAACAAGATGTGATTATGCTACAGTATAACCAGCCCTTAATATTCTTTGTCTGTAAATACATTGTTACTATTTTATTGGCTTTATAGTATTCATCTGTCTTTACTAAACCCCTATTTTGTTAAATATTGAACTTTATGTCATTATAAACAACTACCTTGGTGGTATCTTCTGAATGTGTCTGCATTATTTATTTGTCATTCATTTCAAAGATCCTGCGTGGATCTCATCTGCTTATAAATGGTTTATACTTTACAAATAAAGCTGCACTTCCCTTTGACCAACATTCCTGACAAATTCAATTCCTCCCCAACAAACTTATTTTTCTATATCCTTTTATATGCATATATGACATACATATGGTAATGTGGGCATAATTAGAGTATTTCAGAGGCTTGTGTGGATTCTGTAATTTTGCTTATCACATAATAAATGCTTGGTTAATATTAGCCATCATCATTGTTATTATCTTCTCAGGCTTCATTCTTATTATTTGTGGAAAAGCTTTTAACTATGATCCATACCTAACTCAACAACAAAAACCTCACAGTGGAGAAAGATAATCATGTAAATGGATATAGGAAAAGGTTGATCAATGTTCATTCCTTATTGAATATGAATAATTCATCCTAAAGAAAAATATGAGACTATAAAGTGTAAGAAGACAAATGCACCATAAAATTTACACCATGATGGATATAAAAATAAAACTATGGTAGCCCCTCTATAAAAATCTGAATACTGGGCCGGCCCAGTGGCTCACTGGAGAGTGCGCCGCTTGGGAGCGCGGCGGTGCTCCCGCTGAGGGTTCGGATCCCATGTGGAGACCGGTTCCCGCTCACTGGCTGAGCGCGGTGCGGGCGCAACACTGAAGGTTGCGATCCCGTTGCTGGTCCCCGGTACGGGCGCGACACCGAGGGTTGCGATCCCGTTGCCGGTCAGTAAAAAGGACAAAAAGGAAAAAAAAAAATCTGAATACTAATTCAGTACCCATTTGCATGACTCTTTGGTTAAAAATAAAATCAAATAAAATTTCATTTTCTTTTGGAGTAAATATCAATGAGTAGACTATATAACAAAACGTGAAGACTCCCCAAATCTTATACAGAGGAAATCTTATAGCACTAAATCCATTCATATGATATTAAAGAGATTATACATAAAGACAATAAGCATACAACACAAGAATTTGGAAATAAAATAGCAATAACAACAAAGACCTCAAGCATAATGAAAGGTAAAAGTAAAAGAAAAATAACTTAAAAATCAAAAAGCTAGATCAATAATCACAACCTGCTTCTTTGAAAAAGCAATAACAAAAATATAATAGTAATTCTGGTAAATAAAGATAAATGAATGTTATGAATGAGAAAACATTGCTCTAGAGATAGTATAGATTATATACTACTATTAACTTTTCAATAATTATTTTGAAATTTAAAATGCAACTAATAACCAGAGTTGACTCAGAGGCATAGGAATAGTTAGCATATAAGGAATATAAAGCAAAAACTATCTAGGAAGGCTGGAAAGCAAATATCTCTGGCCAAGGTTATCACATGTCTCTTTTCTATTTTCTCCCACCTCCTAGTCAGGTCCCTTCACAGAATATTCTGGCATTCAATCACAGTTTTTAATAGGAAGGGGGAACAAAAGATGAAATATGTTTCATTATATGAAAATATATATGTATGTATGTGTGTATTGTATATACACACATGTATATTTGGCTGCTGGTCAGTAACAGGGATTGAACCTGGACCTTGGTGTTATGAACACTACACTCTAACCAATTGAGTTATTAAACAGCCAGCCCAGAATTAGTATAGTTTATAATCTGAGAGAATTGGATAATTTTCTTATATTTCTAAAATGGTATATGATTGGAATGATTAAAAGCAGATGAAAGTAACAGTTTATCTAAGATGCCACATTTTGTAAGATACACCATTTTAAATATACTACTAATTTTTAAAATTCTTCAGATTAATCTATAATAGATAATTGATTTTAAGTTGAATCTCAATTTCAGAGATACTAACATGTGAGGTAAAAAGTGCATTTTAGAACTGATGAATTACTTCAGTATTTGTTGTCTCCTTTAGATTTTCAAATTTGTTGCTATAGGGAAGCATGTAATTTTTATCTCTACTCGTAGTTTTATTTATTTTTAAACCATTTTATTTTTCTAAATTGACTTGAAGGAGTCTCATTTATTTTAATTGTTTTTTGTAAAAACTCTTGGCTTCTTGCTTTCAACTATTTTTGTTTTGCTTTTTTCTAGTTCATAATTGCATTTGTGTATTTTTTTTTTCTGTTTTCTTGAATCAGTATAGGTGCTTAGTTGATGTATTTTCAGTCTCTTTTGAATTGGAAGCATTTAAGGCTACACAATTTTTTAACATAAATATTGCTTTAGCTGTGTAGGTTTTTTATTTAAAAATGTGTGTTTCTAATTTTTTAAAAACTTGTTCTGAAATAAGATTTAGCATATCAAATTATAATGTGTGTGTTAACAAGTTAAAACAATATATTCTTTGTGGCTGAATACAAGTTAGGTTTTTGTATATGTTTTATAGACATGATGTGAAATAATATATATTCTCTGTAATATTCAAAGTTCTGTATAATTGTATTATAGTAAGCTTGTTGATTACATTACTTACATATTCTCTGGTTATTTGATTTCCTTTGTTTTATTCTGAAAAATGTGCATTAAATACCCAGCTATTTTTTTTTAGGTCTCCTCTTAATATAGGGGTTTTACTTTTTATGTTTAGTTGCTATATTTTTCATTGCTTACTATAGTTTTTATCTTTATACATAACGATCTTGAATTCCTATTTTTCTAATATTAATACTAAAAATCCTGCTTTGGCTGGTAGAGCTGTACTGTGTCAGTTGTGTGTCAGCTTGTTTTACGTATGTTCTTGTAAAGAATGTATAGTTGGTATATATATGTACACACATATATATAACAGGTATATTTTTTTCATTTTATTTTATGTATATCGTATGTTATGGCATTACCTCCTTCTAGCTACAATGTATAATAATACAATAGAAAGAATATTGCCAATCAAAGAAGCCTTTGGTTTCCAAGATTTTTAATTGGGCTCAATCACATACTGCCCACATGGCTGACCTTTACTTTCCTGCCCTTCTTGGTGGTTTGTTTAATCTCTTTAAGCCTCCAGTTCCTCCAGAGGTTGAAACTGATATAGCATGTCTCCAAGTTTGTACAAATTTACACTCCCACTAGCAATCTATGAAAGTTCCATTTGCTCTATCTATATCCTCTCCACAATTGGTATTATATAGCCATTCTGATGGGGATATAGTAATATCTCATAATTATATTTTCACTTTCTAATGACTAATAATGTCTAATACTTTTTCATATGCTTGCTTATTAGCTATTTTGATATCTTATGTGCATGGTTTGTTAGAGACTTTTGCCTTTTTAGTTGTTGGATATTATGTCTTTTTTCCTATTGCTCTGTATAAATTCTTTATATATTTTGGATATGAGTCCTTTGTCAGATATGTGTATTGCAAATATCATTTGCTCTGTGGCTTGCATTTCTATTCTCTTAAAGGTATCTGCTGATGAATCAGAGTTTTTCATTTTAATGAAGTGCAGTTTATTGATCTTTTCCAATATGGTTACAACTTTTGAGTCTTAAGAAATCTTTGCTCTAATGCCTCCAAACTCATGAAGACATTTCTTTTTTTCCCTAGGAGCTTTACGTCTCACATTTCAAGTTTCAGTATACAGTATGAGGTATAGTGAGTTGAGGTTTATTATTGATACCCCTATCAATATCCAAGTGGATTTATCATGATTAATTGAAAAGTACTTTCTTTCCCTCACAGATTATATCCCAATTCTAACCCCTTCTTACCTTTCCTGATACCACCCTGATCCTAACCACAGTCATATCTCACTTATGTATTTGTAGTAACATCCTAATTTCTGACTCTGTTTCTGTAACCTTCAGAGTAGCCAGAATGATCTAGATAATATCACTTCTCTGCTCCATTTTTGGAGCAGAATAAAATTAATATCCATAAGTTCATAGTGATATGAATGAAGTGTCAAATAACTAAATAAATGGAGAAAAGACAAATCTCCAGTGCAGAAGAGTTCCAAATAATTTATATAGTATTCTGCCCTCAAGGAGGTGGAGCAAACCTTCCCTACTCATTAAGTATGTGCTGTGCATAGTGACTTCCTTCCAAAGAGTGCTATGTGGAAAGAGGGAGAAAAGAGTAACTTAACAATGGAGAAACCTTACAAACACTCCTGCTAGGTGGTCAAGGTCAACAAAAATAGTCATGTTGATAGTATGTACCCTTGAAATATATGATGAAAATGGCACTTTGCCTTTCTGGTCTTCCTCCCCCAAACAACCCCAGTCTAATCATGAGAAAAACTAGTCAAATTTAAATAGAAAGCCATTCTACACTATACCCAACTCCTCAAAACAGTTAAAGTCATTTAAAATAAGAAAAGTCTGAGAAACTGTCACAGCCAAGAGTAGCCTAAGGAGAAATGATGATTAAACATGATGTGCTATCCTGGTTAGAATCCTGGAACAGAAAAAGAAAGAACATAAAACCTTAAAGACATCTCAATAAAGTGTAGGCTTTCACTAATAATAATGTACCAATACTTGTTCATTAATTGTAACAAAAGTACCATACACTGTAAATGGTTTCAATAGTAGGGGAAAGTTGGCATGGGATATATGGGAATTTTCTGTACTATCTCCTCTGTACTTTCCAATAATTCTGTAAATCCACAACTGTTCTAAAATAAAAAATATATCCTGAAAGAGAGAGTGAAGTTGAGTATTCAAATGCTTTCTAATTAGCAGTTTCTATGTATCCACGCAGCAAGTTTATCACGATTTGAGTAATGATGATTACATGCAGTCATTTATACTTCTGATATTAGATCCATCACTTTGGACAGGAGCACACATACAGCCCAGATTATTGCTTCCTGAATTACCATATTAAAACTTAGAATCATCCTGGTCCTCTTTAGCATTTTACACTGTCTGAATGCACAAATATTCTTGTTGGGTGTCCTAGACTGTAGAGCCAATAACAGAGGCACTTTAAAGTGATCCTGATGATTTTGTCTGAGGTACAGTTTAAC